ATTGTAGACAGCGTGACATGAGCTGACACTCAGCTCTCAGAACCTGTGTTGGGCTGACTGTCAGCTACTACCACAGCAGCTTTGAGCTGTAAATAAAGGGTCAATAAGAGGATTTTAAAGGACATTCTTTGGATGCTGGCGTCTCCTGTTTGTCTAAATGATTGGAGGAGTTGACGTCAGAGCTCCAGGTCCTGGTCTGATTAGGATTCTTTGTGTTTTTATCTGTGTGGAGGGTTTTAGCTCATCAGTTCTGGTTCTGAATGAAAGCCTGGATTCTGTGTTGCTGCCAGTCCAGTCACTGCTGTGACCATTAATAAGTCTTTATAATGTTTTACTTTGTTCATGAAGATCTCAGTTGTTTCAGAGCATTCATGACACCTGAGAATGTGTCCTCCAGGTGGACATGGCTGCAGCAGGTCTCTGTCTCTGATGCGTCAGTTTAAAACTCCTTCCAGGCTTTTACAATAACTGATCAGTGTTATTGGCTGGAACCGATCAGAGTTATCTTTAATCTCTTACTCTGTATGGAAACATTTTCACTTTTCAGACTTTATCTGAAATACTCTATAGTTTCATGTCAGTCCGATTCGTCTGAGAGTTTGATGGAAATAAGAGCGTTCTGGTGGACAGGAGCTGGTACAGAGCAGATAAAGCTGCCGGGGCGTCATGTGTCCACACACCGACACATTGATTAGTGTCTGGATAACGGATCAGAACCCTGTGGTCCTCCATCAGATAACTGAGAGATGCACACACTGACACAGCTGTCAAATCTGCTGCTGCACTTTGCTCCTCATTGAGTTTCAGTCTTTGCTTTATCAGAGAGTTTCACATCCCGCTGATGCTCCAAAATCCTCCATTCAAACATAAACCAGGGGTCAAAGGTCAGGAGGGAGGAGGACTGTTCCACTGATCAGACCTTATAGGATTTACCTTCATTTACACACAGCCCCAAAACACCCGGGCTGATTTTACTGACAGGCTGGAAAAAGCCAGGTTAAAGCTCTGTTAGAGCTCTGTTAAAGTCTGGTTTAAGTCAGGTTAAAGCTCTGTTAGAGCTCTGTTAAAGTCTGGTTTAAGTCAGGTTAAAGCTCTGTTAGAGCTCTGTTAAAGTCTGGTTTAAGACAGGTTAAAGCTCTGTTAGAGCTCTGTTAAAGTCTGGTTTAAGTCAGGTTAAAGCTCTGTTAGAGCTCTGTTAAAGTCTGGTTTAAGACAGGTTAAAGCTCTG